TATTAAATGTAATTTGTGAGTACCGCCACAGCTGCGGTAATAACGACCAGTACGAATTTGCTTAATGATTCAAGAATACAGTTACCGAGAAGCCGTTCACTGGAAGATTGGTCGATGAATTCGCCGCCTCTGATAGTTAGTATTTCGATTTTCTCTGATCTTATCAGTAATTCGTATACAATGCCACTGAGAACAGTCCACGCACAAGCAATCATAAAGAAAAAACGACCACTGAGCAGCGCATTCGCTGTGAATCTTTGGCAAGCGATGCTTAGCAACGAGCTCAAAATTCCGGCCATTGACTGTCCAATCATAACCGCTTGTACCTGCAGAAAAACACACTCTGACCAGTTGCTGCTTCTTCAGTGCTTTCACGGAGAATACCGAACTAGCGACTCATCCATCAGTGGACCATGTGCGCTAAGACACTGCAAAAATCCAAGCTGAAACGCTCCAGGCGAGCTGGAGCGATCATATGTTTTTGCATTATTTTGTGCTGTAGCAAGATCGCAAAGAATTACAGTAGCTAAAATACGTTATATACTGGCCCTCGAAGTTCAGGAAGTTAATGTGCAGCAACGTGGCATGTCAGTTGTAGATGTCGCCTTTACTGTCTCGACAAAAGGAAAGTTGCTGGTGAGCGAAAAAAACCCTACTAGAAGAGAAATTTGGAATCTTTTACTCGCACATGAGTCGAAAATTCTCTTTAAATTTCAGCGTCCCAACTTTTCCAGTTCCCAAGTTAGCAGTTTTCCGCCAAAATTTCCACGTGTCCGTTAGTGAGATTCGGACGACTCTAAAAAGCTTAGGAATTTGTCTTCATTTATTTTCATTTCCATTCATTTATTTCCCTTACCTCGTGACCTATATTCTCGCCGTCATTCCCTATCTTCCTCTCAAATCCTGCTTGCAAAACGTCTGCGTTCTTTCCCATCCCCACTATAAAAGCATTCTGGAAACAAGCAATATTTCAGTCATTTCCCCACCTTGAATATACGCGGCAAAAAAATAATAAAACACTTTCTTCTTTCCCCACCCGTCATCAACCTCACCCCTCTTACAAATGTACGTGACTTAGCGAGCTGAATAAGGATCTACGCTATGTATCCATTAAACCAATTTACCCTCAGCTCCTTTCCCTGCTTCGAATGAATCCCTCAGCACACCATCCTTTTTGATGGACGACATTTTTTTGTTTTATTTACCATTACAGATAAAAAAGACACTACTTTTGGTTCAAACGCAAGGACATTTGATTCCTGAGGTGAGCTTTTTATTTTATTTAAAGCGAGCACACTTTGTGCTAGTCGTGTTCGCCTAACTTGGGAAAGCAGCAGAATCATCAACAGCTGCAGAATGGACTTTTCATTTGTTCACTCTGTGAGACGAGGATGAGCAGGCTTTTTATTTATTTCGGCACGTTTTATAAAAAACAGGGACATAACGTAGTTTAAGAAAAAAAAGACTGAAGAACAAACAATTAAATGCAAGAGCTGAAAAGTATTTAACTGTCGGCAAAGTAAAGACAATGACAGTAATAAAAACACATTACCAAAATCAAAAAAGTAGAACATAGACACAAAGTAGTCGAAAAAATACCGAAAAAGAAACAACCGCAAAATGATTCCAGGCGTGTTTACGTCTAAGCACTCAAACAATAAAATGAAGTATTATGGTCACGAAAAACGTTAATCACAGAAAAGCTAGGTAAAAATGAAACATCAACGACAGAGTCTAAACAGCGCGGTAAAATTTAAACACAGAGGCGACTTTTGAGAGAGAGAAAAGTGTTTTAAGGCAAACGCAGAACGCTGCAGTTTTCGGAATGCCGATATGGAATAGAAAATGTAGGAAAGAAGCGCTAGTGAAGCAATTCAACTTCGTCCTTAGAAAAGGGAAAACGAAGCCCTCTACAGACGGAATACAATGAAATAGGAGAAGTGAAAATAAAAGCAATGAGAAATTGCTGACTTGTCTACAAAAGAGAGAGAAAGTCGGGCAAATAATGAACAGGGCAAATTAAAATAACCGCTCAAGGAAACGACAGACAGCAGTATATAAACGGCTTGTAAATGCACTAACGGAAAAGCATCAATCAATGCCTGAAATTAGG